CACACCACAGCTCCCTTGGGAGAGTGACGGGTCACTCTCATGTAACCCCGTTACAGAGCCGATTTTTTCTAATGACTTCACCCTATGCCTCAGCGTAGAGCAGAGTGGATACGCAGGGCTCAAATACTTGATAACTTTGCAGCTGTGGTATCTGCATGTAGTATGGTGCAGCTGAGCAGATAAGTTTCTTCATTCTCAGCCATTGGCTAAGATCCGTCGCCCTTGGCGCTCGTAAGGCTTCAACCTTCCATACTAAACTGGACCGCGGCAAAAAGTTGTACTTTAAACGACACCTATTGTATCACAAAAAGAGGATGGATGCGCGCGGAAGATCTCAAACCTTTCTGTATTTCACTTATACTTTTACCTTTTTGGTTTATATTCTTGTTTTTTACGCCAACACCTTGCATATAACCAAGTATACTTTTTTAAATAGCCATCCCAAATAGCGAGGCGAAGAGAGGAAACCTAAGATGTAAGCGTGAACGGCGTACTCCTACTTCAAAGTGCGCGCGATTGATGTTCAAGAAAAGCACAAAAAAGGATTAGCTTCATTTTAAAATTATATGTTAGATGACAATAGTCTTAACTTTCGAATACACTAAACTCAGTGGCTAAATCTGAGGACAGGATTGTAGTAAACAACAACAAAATATATCACTTCTGCTCACGGTGGATACTGACGGTACTCGTTGTATCTGCTACTGCTACCACCGGTGGATATAATATCAATAACGCATGTGAAGATTGGTATGGTTGGTATGTACTATCAATCACAGTGGATACTTCTGGGATTTTAGACGAAGCGGTATCGGCACGATACTCTTCAGGCTAACTGCCTTGCTGCCGTACCGGTATCAGATTAAGCTACGGATGTCTGTGTTGATCCCTTTGGGATTGCATACCTATCCTCTTGTGAACTTTGAAGTAAGTAGTAGCATTATGATGTTACGTAATCCTCTTCTTTTTGCGCCATCAGAGCGATCCTTACGTCATCTCTTTGCTAATTGTCTCTGCTATCGCACATTACAACTTATTCTATTGTGGAGCTAAGACTCCTAAAAAATGCCATAAGAAATGTAATAGCCTAAACCCGCGCTTTCGCCGTTGCCATCTGGAGTAGAAGCATGGAATAGTACAATATAATAAACTCACAAATCCCAAGTCCGCCAAACCTCTGTGAAAGTTTGACGCAGGCTTTTTAGACGTGGAGACGAGGTCGTGGGAGTACAAATGTGCAGCACGTGGAATAACTTAGCATTATAAAAAGTGATGTGAGACAATTCATGTTGTCTTGTAAATATTAATTGCTCTATAAGAACATTATGGAGCTCAAGATGGTGACTGTGTGGAGTAAAGCAACAATTTTTCATCAGACTGTTTGATCTTTAATAACAGCTGTCATACGTGTACGAGGCAAGACATTTGATCTGTTTAATGCAGAGCGGACGATTTGCCGAGACGCTTTGGAATGTGTCCACACACGTAGTCCGGTAAGCTCTTGACCCAAACTTACGATTACCGTGTGCCGTACGGTTTCAAAGTGAAGACGAACAACTGTGGTCTGATCTTGCCATCGCACGCTCGTGAATAAAGAGTGCAAGTTTCGTCGCAACTCCAGGTCCGTTGTGGTGCACGATATTCGATTCGAAATACACATTTCCTAGAGTTGTCACCGGACGAGGCCCAGACTTCCTGTATTGAGGTATCTAGTTCATGAGGGCTAAAATTCAGCCTCGCAGTTTCATGTTTACAAAGTAAGAGGGTAAAGAGTTCAATAGTTCAGCAGGTTAACGTACCACTCGCCTTCGAACGATCAGATGAACGGCACAATTGTCATCAAAGATAACTTTCGAATAATCACTGATATAGCTGGATCTACCATCACAGAAGCTAAGGTGTTGGTCTAGCTACGGAATTGCAAATTACCGAGTGTTGAGCGTCTGAGCATCTGATAGAACTTGGATGATTCTTTTTTATCTGCTCTTCTATCTAGTCCGTCACTTACATATATTTGTTTTATTTAATGTGTTCGCCTCGCACGTTTAATTGAATGAAAGATCTGACGTATAACAAAGAAACTCAATCTACACATACCCAGTATTTCTTAATTTACACATGCTCTTCTGGTTCCTTGGACTTATTAGGGCTGTTTGCATCGGGAGTATTTTCAGGATCCTTCGACTTGATTTTCTCGACGAGTGTTTTACCAGACTTGTCAGCTATTATTGTAGCCGCATTATTCACATCAACAGCGTAAAACGGCGGCATCGGCTGCAGGTGCATCTCGATTGCGCGAGACGGACGGCGCTTCACCAACTCTTTCTCAATATCGCCGTCCACATCAAGCTCGAGATCGCTCTGATTTTCTTCTTTTACTATCATCGTATTATTATTCTCCAAAAGAGTGATTCGACCGACAGACCAAAAGTCGAGTGTTTTCTTTTTTTTACCAAAAAATCCACGCTTGAACATGGCGAAGGGTCCATTCGAGATAGGCGAGCTCTTTATCTCTGGCAAATAAGATGGCAAACCTTCAGCTACGCGAATAGAGTTACAGCGCACAAAAAAGTTTCGCCAAAACGTCTCCTCCGAAATGACGGGAAGAGGCACAGCTTCCACCAGCGTCTCTCGCTTCTCGCGCAAATTTGGATTACTCAGAAGCAGCTCTTTTGCCACAACCTTTAACGTGTTGTAGTCAAATACGTATTCTTCGTCTCCGTCAGCAGGCTCAACGAATGTACGACGGTATATGGCAAGTTCCAATATCTTTTCTTTTACAGCAATACTTTCCTTGGTCTTGCCGTCTTCTGTGACAAACTCCCATGGAAACAGAGGTGGCAACTCCTTCTGATCGTCATTTTCTACCTCGTTATTCTTTTCATTAGTTAACTTGTCGGACAATTTCTCGGCTTTGGGCACCTCAGCTTCAGGTTCTGGCAGCTCCATCACCTGCGACATGGGCGAGAGCTCATCCTCCGCTTTTGACGTTGGAATTGATTTTAACGTCTGTCGCGTGCGCATACGGCTGCTATTGCGCGAGAAGACGTTAACGATGTTGTGCGCCTTGTTCGCCACTGAGTCTGCCATCATCTGTATATCTTAATATAAAAAAAGTTAAAGATACCAAGTTATGTAGACACGTGGCAAATACAAAAGACGTACTGGCAGCGCTGTGACGCATGCCAACTTCGCTAAATCGCTTAGCCGACATTCCAATCTCGCTCATGCGCGTCGCCATCTTCTTGTTTTTTGGCTGCAGATCAGAAACTAAACAAACGACTAGTAGCGATAAACGACAGAAATGGTACACCCCACAACCTCGGAAAATTAATGAATGTATCGTTACAACTCGTGTAGCTGAAGAATTGTCACTCGAGTTATTTTGATGAAAGTGAAGACAATGAACACTCTGTCTCATTCCTTATATTCGAAAACGCTAACATTGCATTCTTCTTGATTTCGGTAAAACAGTACGTGTGATTGCGCAAGAAAGTCTTGACAAATATTATTAATCTTTTCATTACTGCAGACTACAGCCTCGACGTGAAGACGACATACTTCTGGTTTCTTAAAAGTCTGCTTCGAGCCCCAAAAGCTGATATCACTAGATCGCACGCAAGGATTCCTAGGCATTGAAGTAGCTGTCCCATCGTTGTGACGATTCCGCTAGACACAACGACGGTCGAGGTGAAAACACTCTGAATCTATTAACATGTACCTCGACGCTGGCTTAAGATGCATCATTCACGTAAACATGGCACAAATGGTCTACGGCGACGACCGCTCGGCGCAAATCTTACGTCTGAATAAGCAATCTTGCTCTTAAATATATGGTGTGATCTGTTCGGCGATCATCACCTGCTCACGGACAAAACCATAAACCAGATTGCAAAGTTGGCCGATGGTGCATCCAAATTTTAAATGATTACATTATTCATACTTTAGTCGAACAATTGTGATCCATTGATCACAAATGATGACCTGAGACCTTCGGTAAGATTGTTCGCAGCGTCGTTGTAATTTCTGGCACTTCATGCGGTCGCAGTGGTGGTTTGGCCTCGACAAGCTCACCTCCGCGTTCATATGAGCAACCACAATTTATTCCTATAGCTGCTACAACGGCGCTATACTCGCTGCATCACGACCGCTATCGATGCACGTATTTATCGAGTAGATCTATCCTGTAAGATGCCTCTGGTGCAGATCAACTAACTGTTTTGTGGATTCTAAAGTCGGTTGCAAAGCGGGCAGTAAGTGTTACGTTAGGTCCCGATTCGTGTACTTTGCTGTTTTGTTTCGCTTTACAACTGAGTTTTGTGCGCGTATTTATTTGTCTTCCATTGCGATGTTTTAATATAATATGGCAAAATGATAACAGATAAAACCATAAAGCTGAAATAATGACTTTCGGTACTTTGGATATATTCATATGCCTTGAGAGAAAGACTTAGTATCTTTAAATCAAGCATGTCCTTATTCAAAATCTGTCTGGAAATTTTATCCGCAGTTTTCATTCATTATTGCTGAACAATCGATCAATACCTTATTTCAAATTTAAACCTCATGTGACTTTGCATCATATTAGGTGAGCACCAATACAGCACGTGCTAACGCCAAGGATCTTATTTATCAGTGATATGTTTCAAGATATTTCCATTTCGCCGACACAATCCACTTTTAGCGACCATCAACAAGGAGCAAGGACAGCTAGTGTTTGTCTATCATGCTTTTCAATGCGCGGGAACGCTGGACTACGCTACGCATAGATGTCCATGCGATAAGTAGAATATGGATTTAAATATGCAGCGGGGCTGCCGTAGCTTTGCGCTTTGAGGAAGCGTTACTTAGGTCACCGACCTTTCGTTCTATACTTAGAACAAGTACAAGTTTAGCGGATCGCAATCCGCTTGATCCAAGAGTAATTATGGCCTTAACCCAAGGCTAATTAATTCTTCCGTTAAAATCCAAAACTGATTTTATTTATTTTTATCTGCGGCAAAGCCATTTTTAAGAGTTTATTGCAAAAGGTGATACAAATAGAAAATATTCGCGAGGTGTGATACAATTGTGTTTTAAACTTGAAAAATCTGAGAA